CACGCACACACACACACACACACACACACACATACACACACACGCACACACGCACACACACACACACACACAGGCACACGTGCACACTAAGCCAAACTGCACACACACCCTTACCCAGACGCCGATAGATATGATGCACAGAGTTCCTGACCTCCTAACTAAGTCACAGGCAAAACAGAACCATTAAGTCTGTATAAGCACACAGCCCACATTCTCACTGACATGCGACTGGACATGAACCAGTCAATTCTGTCAGTTACAAATGAAACCTCCTCTCAGCAGAGCCTGTGTTTGCACTGCACAAAGCCGTCTTTGCAGACGAAACGAGGTTCCTGAAAATCCCCCCAGATTAGATTAGGAGGGCTCTGTGGCCCCCTTATTCTCCGAGCCGTTCCACGCGAGCGTCTGGTTAGAGACGTCAGTGTTTGCGGTTGCCCTCGGTGACGGGACAGCCAGCTTTCCCCCTCCCCTCACTGCTGGCCTCTGCCCCCTAGGATCCTGCAGCCCAGCCAGGGCCAGAACGCATCCCTCCCGGGCCAGCTGCTGCGACAGGGGTGAGCTCTCCTCCCTCCTCCCTCCTCCCTCCCCCCTCTCTTATTCCTCTCTTCCTCCTCTCTGCTGCTCTCTCATCTTCTTGGCTTCCATGGTGGCGCAGTGAAGTGGCCCATTCACAAACACCAAGCTTTGACTGGATGTGCAACGTCTGTTATTCATCTCTCCCTCTCTTCTCTTCCCTGCTGTCTCACTCTCTCCTTTGTTTTCTTCATTTTTCTCTCTCTCTTCCTCTCTCCAACCCTCTCGCTTTCTTTCTCCCTCTCTCTCTCTCTCTCCCTCACTCTCTCTCTCTCTCTCCCTCACTTTCTTTCTCTCTCTCTCTCTCTCTCTCTGGCAGGAGTCTGTACAGGAAGACCCCGGAGGAGAGACTGAAGCACTCGGACAGCCTGAGGAAGCAGCACTCTCTGGGGTAGTACTGGGTTCTGACCCTCGTCATCCCTGACAACACCAACCCCCTGTCAGCACCCCAATGCAGCATACACCCCCTCGCCCCCGTCCTCAACACTCCACACCAAGAGAGAACCCCCTCTGACTCCCAAAGCCTCCACCGCCAGTTAAGGGAGAGTAAGGCCTTGGGGACCCTTTGATGGGTGGAGCCATGGCTGCCGTCTGCTGTCAATCCCTGACTTGCTTGAACAAATCAAACGATCTCTCTGCAGCAAAAACACTACAACTGGTGCAAATAAGTGAGTCACTGATAGAGCATGATAACCTCTAAGAAGCCTCACTCTCCTCACGCTTGTAAGGCTTGTAAGCCTTCTTGCCTAAACCTCTCCCACCCGTATGCTTCCAACCCCCCGGCCAAAACCTCCAGCCCACCCTTGCTAAAATACCTCCCAACACTATAACCTGTGTCAGCTTCCCAAAATTCCTCACTTCCCGATGCCAAAACCCCTTCCCAAGACTACCCATCCATCTCCTGCCAAACCGCCACCCCTGGCCAGTAGAGGGTGCTAGAAGAGCGTGCTCTCCCTGCTCCAACGCACACTACCCTACAGGAAATCCACGAGGATGACAGTCATCCTGCATCAGACTGTTACTATTATTATTATTATTATTATTATTAATAATAAAAAGCGATGAACATTTGTATCTTGGGATAGTTTACCCTGCTCCTACGGTTCTGTAATATATTCTCTTGCCAAGATGTGATTCAGTCTCTTTTCCTGTTCCTGCTCGGCCAAACAAGAGATTCTGCAGCTGGAAGCGTGTCTGTGTGATTTGGGAAGGGGCGGGAGTGTAAATGTGAAAAATGCCATTTTGCACAGAGCTCTCGAGATTAACAGTGAGGCCATTATTGCGGACTGAGTCACTGGCGTGTCTGAGGGTTGCCTCATATCAGCGTGGCAGGGTGTAGCTGCATCTGCGCTGAATATTACTGGCTGATGCTTCTTTCTCCGTGATCCCCTTGCTTCCTGGAGTTGTTGTGCCATTGAGGCACTTCTCAGACAGACATATACATCTCGGATGCACAGACACCTTCCAGACACGCACTGAGACCTCAGAGAGAGACAGACACAAACGCATTCCAGACATGCACACAGACACCTCCATGAGAGACAGACACATCCCGGATGCACAGACACACACTGACACCTCCGAGAGAGACAGACACATCTCAGATTCACAGACGCCTTCCAGACATGCTCACAGACACCTCCAAGAGAGACAGACACATCCCGGATGCACAGACACACACTGACACCTCCAAGAGAGACAGACACATCTCAGATTCACAGACGCCTTCCAGACATGCTCACAGACACCTCCATGAGAGACAGACACATCCCGGATGCACAGACACACACTGACACCTCCAAGAGAGACAGACACATCTCAGATTCACAAACGCCTTCCAGACATGCTCACAGACACCTCCAAGAGAGACAGACACATCCCGGATGCACAATCACCCTCCCGATGCGTAGACACCCTCCACACGCACAGAGTGTGACTGACTGTGTGTGGGTCCCTCTCCCGGTGGGAAACTCCAACCTCTCTAGAGTTTCAGGGCTGGCTCCTCTGCCGCTCTCTCTAACACACACACGCACACACAAACACGCTATGACTTGCCCAGGTTTGCACTGAGTGCATCTGCTTGTGATTTTTTGCCAAACGCATTCTCTCCTCTCCCTGTTAGTGTCTGAGCACCGAGTAGCCTTTCTGAAAACCCCGCCTGAACCTGTCTTCAGATCGTAGTCTCATGAAGAGCTGGATGAGTAGAGGTGCTTTGTGGTAGAGAGTTTATGTTGACATTTCCTTTTTTTCTTTTTTTAAACTTCACCGTGCAAGATATCTCCTGCCTTTGAGCCTTCTGTGGTGTCTGCATTTTTATTTTTCTTATGGTTTTAGGCTAAATCGTTTCTACTTGCTATGCTGAAGTTGGGCCAAAATTAAGACAATGAGACTGAACGTGAAGTATGCACAGTAAACACTTGAATGTATTTGGCTTTTTTTAATTTTGCACTTAGAAAGACTTGCTTTGTTACATAGAACAAAGGCTTAAGGGTTTCCCAGCATGCTCTTGACACAAGGTACAGCCAGCGTTTGTGCACATTACCTGTGGGCTTGCTAGGGACATGATCTGGCCAGCATGGATTTCCCTCAGACACCCGCAGCTGTATGGTATTCTGTACGGGCCAAACAAGGGGGAAAAAATCCTTGACAACACACAAAAATACCTCATCGGTGTCCTGCTGTAGTTTTCCTCACTTTAATGAATACCTCTGGCACCACCTAGTGGCGAGTCTGGAAATGCAGCGGTATTGCTGAGCCGAGATCGGGGTCCCTAGAATTTATGTGCTGGCGCACTTTGGCCCTGTGAGAGCGTGGGGTGAGACGCAACCAATATGGCCTTCTAGTATTGTCTGGATTGGTTATTTATTGACTTGACTTAATATCTATTTTGTGTTTTCATTTTTAATGTCCAGTGTCCTGTAGATCCATGTTTTAATGTTCGGTATATGTATTTGTGTTTTTATACAGTTCTTACTTATTCCTGTTTATATGCATGTTTATAAAAATATTGATATCAATACTACCAATAACAATAAAAAATAAACAGAGTTTCAGTTGCTGTGTTCATTTTCATGCACATAGCTGAATACAAGACAAAACCGGTGTCTCATTAGGTGTGATGGTAATTGAAAAATGAAGCAATAGTATTTAAGACATAGGTGCATCTTTTTCACACACATGAAGAATAAAATTAACTGTTCTTGTACATTCTGGTGTACCAAATACAATGGCACAGTGATAAGCATTGAAGATGGGTTATCACGATATCTTAATCTCGGTCCAGTTATGGAGCCTTCCACTGACAGGCTGAGTTTTGCCATTATCACCTTACAAGGTTAGCAATCGCTGAAAACGACTCCACACCCCAGCTGGTGAGTAACAGTATGTGCCTTAGTTCTGCCTCCAGCACAATGCTGGCATGAAGGTTAGTCCAGCCTCCAGCATGCGTAGGAGAAAATTTCATCTTAAGCCCCCTCTTCTACTTCACCTTGAAAAAATCAATGCCAGTTAATAAATCACAGTGGGTTCAAAAATTAGGGAGATGGGACATAACATTACACAATAATGACAGAGGCCAAAAACTTTTATTGCAGATCTGGAGGAGACAGTCTCATAGCTGCACACTAGGCAGCATCAGGGAGAGTATCTCAAAAAACATAAGGCACTAAGCAGTCTTTTATATAGCACTGAACAAACATAGAGCCCCAATATTTGCAATCCCCTCCTCACCTATTATTTTTATCTTACACTCAAGGTCCATCTTCAGGGCAATGTCCGGACAGTGTCTAACTCCCATTTTCCTCCCCAACAACAGGCCTTACTTTGTAACTTACTGCACACATGTAGAATTGTTTTCTTCTCCACTCCCTCTCGGTTCTACTTCGAGATATCTCACATATACACATATATAGTTTGTTTAAGGCTAACATATTGGATTGTCTGGTTCCCTTATACACTTCCAGACCTCCACATGCATAGTAGAGATAGAGTAAATGGCTGATATATCAATAATTTCAGTTAATATGTCAATAACTGTGGTTAATGTAACAGTAATCATGATTAATATGATAATAACTGTGATTAGTGTATAAAAAGCAGTAAAAGGGGGCAAATTACCTCAACACACACTGTTCACATGAAGGAGTTATTCCCCCCATTTGTAGGCGATATTGGTTACTCCCTTTTTCTTTCTTGATTGTCACTAGGCTTGACCTTCAACTGTGCCATTCCACCTCTGAATAATGAGATCATGCAGTGCTTAAGCAGATTGTCCCCTGTCAGATGGCATTACATTGCACTCATTTAACAGGCATTCTTATCTAAAATGACTTAGATTTAGATTAGGTTACAAATTTTCATGTTATCCATTTATACAGCCGGTTATTTTCTGAGGTAATTGTTGGTTAAGTACCTTCCCAAGGGTACAACAGCAGTGCCCAAGCAGAGAATTGAACCAGCAACCTTTTGGTTGTGAGCCCTGCTTCATACCACTATACCACACTGCTGTAATCTCGTTGCTGACATTGTACATATTGTACACCTGTCTAGCAGAGTTCTTCACCTTTGTAGGAGCTATTGACACAAAGGAATGAATAATTTGCCCTCTACAATATATAGCAGGAACGCACTGACCATAGCAACAGTAACTATACCTTTGGGTGATGCCATATTGAAGCTAAACTTCTTCTTCCCCTGAATACTTTGTAGACTCAGACAGATCAGTGTAGGTACTGTGTGATCTGTCAGAAGACAGTAGCCTATGAAATGCAATTTGAAACATATTATCATTCAGCCATAAATAAACAATACATCAAGCTGACACCCAAACTACAAAGTATATACATCATTTATCATAGAAAAACAGGCCTAGGTTTCTTTTAGTGATCAGGATACATCCAGAGACTTCCCAAAAGGAAGCCCAACACTAGTGCTCATATAATTACTCTCATATTATTTCCCTTACTGAATGAAGTCTTTTGTATGTTGCTTTGGTAACATCTAATGTCCTTGTTGAGAATTTAAATATATTAAAAATATTAGTGTCATATTATATCCTGGAGGCTTTGATGCATTTTCGTTTGAAGCATCATATTTTACTGGTTGTAAAATTCGTTGAGCTTAACATGTGATATTCTAATTCATATGCTGCCAAAAAGGAAGCAGGACACTCTCCAACTATTATCATTCAGAGATCTGAACATTGGCCAGGACAGGAGCCATCTTTTAAACATTGCTAAAGGAAAATACATGCAATGCACAGAGACTGACAAGCAGCATATGATATATGTTAAGAATGTAGGTGGTTGTTCAAAGTATACATTTTTTCTAACAAAGCCAGTTTCTGTGAACTGACTCCTTCAGAGGATATTATTTAATTAGTTGTACCTCACTCTGAATGATTAGCAAAAGAGAGCCCCGCGTTTATAGCAGAGGCTCATTTAGATTTAGTCTTTATAGTTTGTGAGAGAAGTGTAGATTTTCTTTTCAGGACCTTAGCTTTGAACTGCTGCTTCAGAACATCTTCCTGTTTAAAAATAAATTGTTGAATGCAAAATTCACCGTATTGTCTTAAAAGTTTTGACATTCTAACAGGTACAGTAAAATAAGGAAATTCTCTAATCTTTATCCCTGTTTCGAGAAAGTCAGATGAAGTGACCCTGGCGAATTTGGGAATTTCTTTGAGAAAATTCTGCAAGCGTCCATTATTCTTCGGGTTGATCTTTCTGTATTGCCATCATCTCTGAAACAAATAGCAATGATGATGATATTGAAAAATGTTTTTTTATTTCTGAAAAGAGCAGCGTGGTTCAGTGTGACAGCTGACAGCAATAACAAAAAATACCCAATAAAGTGATCATAATGAAGCAATAAGTGTGTACATTCTACACTAATTTACATGTTGATGGTTCTGAGTGAACACTCTAGTTGGTGACTGACAGTTAACACTTTGTTCAGCCTCCAGCGCCCCGCTGGAGTGAGGGAGCTCTTCCATCCATATGTAGACCATATTAGTTCCTTACTGTTTTTTTCTTGCTTGATATTAGCCAGGCTTGACCTTTAACCGGTTAATTAATAACATCCTGTGTACTGTCACAACTATCATCTGGTTAATGAAGTGATGTGACACTTAAGCAACTAAATTGATAGACATGCTTGTCAAACTCAGCCATAAATAATCAAATTGATTCCACAAACGCCATGTATATACCTAAATTATCATACATAAATGAGGATAGGTTCCTTTTAGTGTCCAGGATACCCCCAGGAAATCCCTATAGTAAGACAAACACCAGTGTCCGTATAATTACTCTCATGTTATTACTCTTATTGAATAAATCCTATGGTTTTCTTGTTGATTATATACATATGCTATGTTCATGTCATGGTACATCCTGGAGGCTTTGATACATTTGCATTTAAAATCTCACATTTTGTAGACTGAACGCTACGGCCCGGGTTCAATCCCGGCTGTGTCACTAGCCGACAGTGACCGGGAGCTCACAGGCGGAGCACATTGGCTTCGTTCCGCCGGGGACAGGGGTGGGTACGTCGGCAGGGGCTTCAGTCCCATTCGCAATAGTGACCCCTGCTGGTCGATCGGGCGCCTGTGGTCCACGTGCCAAAAAGCTGCATATGAAATGTCTTCCTCCGACTCATCTCTGTGCTAGCTTGGCTTGTGGGCCGCAGAGCGAAAAGAAGCAGCGGCTGACATCACGTGTCTCGGAGGAGGGCACGTGCTTGTCCACGCTCTCCCGGATTGACAGTGGGGGTTGTGCAATGGGACCGAACATCAATGACTAATTGGACATTCCAAATTCGGGAAATTGGCCATTCCAAATCGGGAAGAAAATGGAAAAATGACAAAAAAAAAATAAAAAAAATAAAATCTAACATTTTACTGGCAGTAAAATCCATGAAGCTGAATAGGTAATATCCTAATTGGCATGCCGACAAAAAGGAAGTGAGACACCACCCGAGCATTATCATTCAGAGATCTGAACATCCTCTGGGCAGGAGCCAAATATAACCCAAGTAAAATAAGGAGACTCTTTGTCATTATTTCAGAGAAAAGCCTACAGTAGAGTCGCTTCCTCTGCATACACCAGGGATGGCATAGACTTTGGCATTGTCGCAAGGGTACTGGGACTGACAGCCAAAGGATGTCATAAAAGGTGGAAGAGACAGACATACTGACAGGCCCTTCATTGTCACTATACTTTAAAAATGACCTGAAAGCATATCAAAGCATAAGGGCTACTACAAATGAGAGGAGCTGGAAAAGGTGTAAAATCATTTAGGTGCTTTCCAATTTCCTGCCATGAGGCGTATCCTTATGTTACCTCTGTTGAGAGTAAATACATTTTGCTGTTTTGGTACAATGACCTCTCCAATCATCCATACAGACATCTCACATACATATATCTCTCACACACACACACACACACACACACACACTGCAGATCCAATGATGAAGCAGTGGATAAAGCTTAAAATACAGGTCAAGGGTCATTTTATGGAAAAACATGCTAACAAAATGACTCTATTGTACAGATTTCAAACATATTCAGCATTCAGTACAAACCATGCTTTTGCTGCTGAATGAAAACAGGGTGGATTCAGAACATTTCAGGTGCTAAGACAAGCATAAGCACAAACACTGCAGCAGGATCAGTTAACAAATAATGAGGAGCAACACATAGAGAGCAGGAAAGCTGTGAGGCAAGATTAAATGAAGAAATAAGGGAGGAATCAGGGAAAAGTATATCATTAAATTGTAGCTTTTTATTTTTATTTCTTTATGACATTTAGTTTATAGGCAGACTAAAATTTACTACTACAAAATTTACTTTGGATTTTAATGGCTACAAGAGCAATAAACTTGTAATAAATGCATAGTATTCCATAGCACTACCTACGTACTACTAGATCCTATACCACTATTCTGAATGCAGATCCTAAACTCATAGTACCAAGGTAGCTTTTTATTTACTTTTTTTTCAAGAAAAAAACAATTTTAAACAATTTTAAAATATATGCTCATATAGGGAATATTATACATATTTGCCTTTCACACACAAACTGCAAAGAATGAAGAATAATAATAAAAAACCCACTACCATTAAAAATCACACTGTGTCAAATTGACAGGTTAAAAAACAATTCAGCCCTGCTGTTTCCAAACTGTGTAAAAGCACTACCCATTGTACACGAATGTGTTAAACTCTGTCACAAGCATTGGCTTTGGCATTTTTACAATGTCTCTCACGGTACTCCTTCATTTTGTTGTACTCCTCTGTAACATCTGCACAAAAAAAACAAACTTTTATACACAGTACAGTAATATCCTTCTAGTGCGGTGTTACCACTGGTCAGACAATAATACACTACTTCAAACTATAATATCAGATGGTTCATTCCGAAATGATTGTACTGGAGTCATACATACTTTCTTTCACAACCTCTATCATTAAATTTATTGTAAATGTGCTCTCAAACAGTAACTATTGTATCTATTTAATTGCCACAATATTTAACTGTCAAGGAATGTTTATTATCAAATAATTTCACCCGTCATGTTCTCCCTCTGCCCCTACTCTTTCCTTGGTCTTGTGCAGTGAGCTGATTAATGGCTCCATTCACACCGGGCAGAAGAACTGAATAAGCAAAATTTGGGGTGCTCTGAAAGCCCCGACGTTTGAACACATGCATACAGTAAGGTTGTGCTTATATATCTTAATTTAGCATTATGTTTGTTTCCTGTTTTTCAGTTCATTACATGTGTTCTTGTTCTTGTGCTAAAAACACGTCTTTTGGGCTTCCCTTTACCTGGCAGAGAGGTGCTCCTCTTTGTGAGAAGGACCTGTTGCATTGATTGGTCAAGCTTGCTCCTCAAGTTCTCCTCAATCTTTTCCTAATGGAAGGCAGATGTCACAGGATGTTTTTACTGCCTGACCCACAAAAGTCACTCTGCATAATGCTGATTTACAGGATTATTGGAATTGTTTGAGGTTGTACAGTATATACTTTACAGTTGCTCTTTTAATGTTATTGTTTTCTTGCTATTGTATTGTTATACTCACAGATTTTTTCTCTGCTCATGGCATGGACCATAACTAATACAGTATAATAAAAGTTTCAAACCTTCAGGTTTTTGAACAACTCCAGCATCTCCTCCTTGGCCTTTTGGAACATGGTGTCCTTGAATGACCCAATGCCTTGCTGCAGTCTCTTCTGAAGAATTATCATGGCACCATTTCCACTAATGTCAGCAGCCTCTTCAATGACAGATTGAATGAATGAAAGATTTTTAGGAGCAATGTAAATAGTCTTAATGATGAGTCTCCTTAAATTTTCACTGAGATAGAAATACAGACATGGCCTAGTTTGGTTGAAATGTTAACGAAATTCAGAACTGAGAGTCTTATTAATTTGTGACAGGCTATGGATGTGGTGACCCCTGATTGATATCTTTTCTTGAAAATATTATTGCTGGTCAACCTAAGGC